TCAAGTTTTGGAATTATTGCATCTTGTAACGCATTTTTTTACCATCAATTATCAAGTTTTCATAGATTTGCTCGATCTACATTCTTTTTTAAGCTTTAAACTTTATAATTAGATATGAAAATATATTTTAAGGCTATGACAAAGATTTTTAGTAATGAAATGACATTTCTCGACACTATTTGAAGTTGTGTTTTACTTTGATTGTTTAGAGCCTCGGCTCTATAAAAACCACACCTTATATATATAATTTTCATATTGAAATAGACTCAAAAATATAAAATAGTGCTTAGTTTCATCCCTAGTTCACACCGTTTAATGAGTCTTCGATTTAATGACATTCACGTCACAATATAGTTTTCACATCAGAAAATTCATTGTGCACCTCTCAATAAAATAAATGTTCATCTCAATCCACAAAGGATTTCTTCTTGAAACTTTTTCTATTGAAAACTATACTCAAAATCAAATCATAGCATCATGGTGTAAATCCCATATAGTATTTTTCTTCAAAGAAATAGATAAGTGACATTCACATCACAAAATATATCATACTGCAGAATTTCAGGATGAATATTGTCTAGTGAAATTATGTTTTCTCTCTAGCCTCATGGAGTTCCCTTTCAAATTAATTTTGTTTGAAATTAGACACAAAATGGTAATACCTGAATTTCTCCAAGCCTCATATCACTCTGTTAAGTAGGCTTGATAAATATAGTTATTCGTGTCTCAATGAATAACACATTAAACTGCTGAAAATTCAAGATGACCTCTCTTCAATCCAAAATATGTATTCCTCTCTTCCCATGGATATTTCTCTCTCAAATAAATTTTATTAAAAACTAGACTCAAAATGAAAGTCTAAAAACTTGGTGTACACTTCAAAACATTCTATTAAGAATGAAAATAAAATTATGACTTCTAAGTCATTGAGACAGTTATCGTTGCAAAAAGCAGCAGTTGCACACCCTTTAATAAATATTGATCTTATCTTTCAAACCACAAGAGTTTTTTTCATGAAACTATTTTTGTTTGAAATTAGACTCAATTTTATAATTCATTGTCAAATTTCAGCTAAAAATAAAATCATATGATTGGTGGAAAAATATATGAAAACTAATTGATAGTTCTTGGATTTTACAAGGTCAAGACTGATACCCATCATTGATGAGTCCATAACTCTCAATTCCCCCAGGATCTCCACTAATATTTTTTAAGTATATCGTACTCTCCAAAATGCATAATATCATCAAAGAAATACCTCATTATCTTGTTTATATTAGTGCTCCAAAAGCAACAAGAATACCCGATTCTGCAGAGTACCTTGTCGGCATTTAAACGTGCCAATAATTCTTTCAGATGTGTATCACTTGACCACAAAAGTCATTGGCTTTCTTATTTCTCATTATCAACTCACCAAAAAATAGTGAAATAAAATAAATAATGAAGCAAGTAGATCTAGCTCTAATACCAATGAAAATTGACAATGAGATCAAGCACAGTGTATATAAAGTAAAAAATTTCTTATTTTTCTTATTATTACACCAGCAAGACCACTCACAATGTTCAATTACAAATAAATAACTTTTGAAATAAATAAATAAAAGAAAAGAAACACGGTTCTCACTTGCTACCACTATTGAATACAATTCATTAAATCAAAACCTTAACTCATTGCTTTATGGGAAGAAAAGATCACATCACAAATAAAAAATTAAAGAAGTAAAATTACCAGAGATTACCTCAACCAGGCTTAAAGATTTAAAAAAATAAAATTACCGGAGATTACCTCAACCAGGCTTAAAGATTTTAAAAAATAAAATTGCCGGAGATTACCTCAACTAGGCTTAGTACACCCTACACCGAGTCTCCTCCTTCCGATAGTCCTAGGATCTATGATCGATCTCTTGATTCTCAAAACCTTCTCAATGGTATATAGATCTCGATCTAAAACCAACTTAAAGCATCAAATGCCTTAGTCTTGCTCATGCCCCTTTGGCTTGATCTTTAGAGCTATGAATCTCAATCTAGAACCAACGACCTAAGGCTTCAATGCCTTAGTTTTGCTCAAGCCCTTTTGGCTTGATCCTTGGAGAGATGAGAGATAGATCAAAGAGAGAGGGATAGTAGCTAGGGAATCCTCCCCTAAGCTACTAAAAAATCAAATCATCATAAGCTAACTTTAGCTTGGGCGTGTCACCTAGAAGCTATTAAAAAATCAAACCACCACAAGCTAACCTTAGCTTAAGCATATCACCTAGAAACAAGAGAGATGACTTGGGTGTGGCCCCTTTGCTAATCAAAATCAAATCACCGCAAACTAACCTTAGCTTGAGCATGTCACCTGGAAACTACCCAAAAATCAAACAACCACAAGTTAACCTTAGCTTGGGCGTGCACCTAGAAACGAGAGAGATGTCTTGGGTGTGCCCCCTTTGCTAGTCAAAAATCAAACCACGACAAGCTAACCCTAGCTTGAGCGTGTCACCTAGAAGCTACCCAAAAATCAAACCACCACAAGCTAACCTTAGCTTCGGCATGTCACCTAGAAACGAGAGAGATAACTTGGGTGTACCCCCTTGGCTTGAGAGAGATTTTGGTTGTGGTGTGCTACCTATAGAGTGTATTTGAGAGAGAGAGAGATATATATATATATATAGAGATAAACCCTTAAAAAGAGGAGAGAATAGATGTCGAGATTTTATGAGGTGGGAGAGCCTCTTTATATAGATTTTCTATGCCTTGGGATTTGCATCAATTCGTAGGGTTACATCTTGATCGTCAATCTAAAGTGACTTGTAGGATGAGAGATTTGAGACATTCATCTCTTTAATCTACCAGCAAGATTCCAAGAGATGAGCTAAAGCATTATCATCTATTTTCTAGATCTACTCCCACCAAATCTTTAAATAAAGAAAGTATATATCTTACTTTCTATTTTAGTATATCCAATCCTTATTCAACTTTATTAAGTAAGTTGGTTATACCCAAAAGATTAGTCCCTATGGGTGGGGCGTGCCACCCGTTGGTGGCCACACGTGGGCCCCACCCAATCCCACATGTTCTAAATTGGGCTCCCATATTTATGAAGGGCCTCAAATAATTTTAAAAAATATTTTATTATGTATTTAGAATTTTTAAATCTTATATTTCATTTAAAACATTGGAAAATTAATTTCTCTAAATTTATAAATCCAAATGACAAAAATAAAATATCAAAAGATTCACAAAAATTCAAATAAACATTCTAAAAATCATATATCAAAAAATTAATTAAAACTAATTCATTTTGATGGGAATCAGATCCGTTAAATCTAGGAATTTATCAATATACGGGAGCACACCTTCAACTACGGACCACGATCTACCTAGCTTTCTCAAACTGACCCAATAGTTCTCATGACCCATAGTCCACTGCAGGGGTTCATGATTGGACCACCAAAATCAGCTAATAGACTAGGGGATGCAATCCTAGTTTATGGATTTCAGGTTCTCCCCTAGAGACAAAAAAAATTATGGTCCTCTAGACTATGATGCAACCTTGATTCTATGGTGCATATGGGTAATATCTCGCATATGTACATGCTTCACCCTCATTGGCGAACATCAAAATGACTATCTATGTGCATGCCATGTGATGATATAACAATGAGGTCTTAGCCATGTCTCTAAAGGATATTCATCACACATAAGGGCCACACAGTCCCTCTACTCTCATCTGAGCATACTCCGACCTCATCAAGGGCTAACCCACTAAACACTTCTCAGTAGATCCCGATGCCCAAGTATCTTGGGTTTTTCCAAACTCATTTAGCCTAGCACGTCGAGCCTAGTCCAAGTATCAGCAAATAGCATTTACTTAGTATGGTCCACAAGAGAACTACACTCCCACTGAGTTTATATTTTACTATATAAAATGCTTATGCAAGCTCTTATAAAGACCTTTAAGGGCTACATAAACCCAACAGGAATAACCTCCAAGGGGATGTGACATCGGATGGCTGCAGGGTTAGAGCGGTTCTCTTCTCCTCTTTTCTTCATCTCTCATTTGTCTTCTTCTTTAATCTCTACTCTGTAAGGAGGACTGTGCACTAGGTCGATATTGGGGCTCTCAAGTGCTTAAGAAGTTCGTTCTTTTTCGCCTTGCCTTCGGGGTATCAGGCTTAGACCTAGTAGCTTTTTTGAGATAACCGGAATAGATTCCTAAGGAAGGTGACGTTGAAAGGCTGCAGGATCATCGGGTAGTCTTCTCTGTCCTTTTCTTTTTATCTTTCATTTCTCTTATCTCCTTATCTCATCTATTCTCTTTTATCCCCCTCTGAAAACCCAAGTTTAGCCTACCTAAGCCTATCACACACACTCACAAGAAGGGACGAAAACAAAAGAGGCTCTCAATCTCATATTCACAACGATAAAGGTGCATAGACATAACGGTGTCATGTGTTACGAAAAGGGAGCAAACTCCAAACCTTGCTGAGACAACTGGGGGCCTTTCTTGAATGATCTAAGAGGGTCAGTTGAGCCCGGAGACGTCCTCGAACCCACCGAGCAAGGTAGGTGTCTCTCCCTCGCCACCAAAATTTATCTCACTCCGTTGGTATCTATTCGCATGCACGAACGCATACCACGGTTTTTCGAGCGAGCGTCCTCGGGCAAGACCCCAACTTGGTCCCCGAAACGATGAGGACTAGGCCCAACCAATTATATATTTATATTTATGTTATTAATATTATTTATATTGTATATTATATATAATATTTATATTGTATATACTATATAATATTGAAAAAATCTTTCCTTATCCCCTATTTTTTACTTTTGTATTCTTAAAAGCCAAGGGTTGATCTTTTCTATCTTACAACCCCCTAAATTTTTTTTACGTTGAATGTTTTACCAAACAAAAACTAAAATGACACCATCAACACTGTTGTTTTCCGTTCACGTTTCTCTCAAAGCACCTCTCTCTCTCTCTCGAAATTCCATTTCTCTCTCTAATACCCAAAGTTTACGAAGTTCCTCTCTACATCGTCTCTCTCTCCTCTCTCTCTCTAAAAAAACCAAATATCAGATCTAAAGCCCTACTGTCATGTTGCAGCGCCAACCCATCGATCTAAAAAACCCACATATCTTTGTATCTCTCTCTACCTCGTGTCTCTCTCTTCCCTCTTCCTTCTTGCACGACCTTCCTCTCTCTTCTTCTCTCACTCATCTTCTTCCTCATTGCTCCCAAAATCAAAAGCATCTTCCTCATTGCTCCCAAAATCAAAAGCAATGGCAAAGTATTGAAGATCAAAAGCGGCTCAAAAACCCCATATTGCCATCAAGAATATGTTCAAAAACCCCAAATGAAGTATGCAATTTATGTTTTTTTTTTTTTTTTTTCAGTATCCTCGTATGTGGTGATTAATAGTAATTTTTGTTTTGATGTTGTTTTGCTCTTTCTCACTGGTTCTATACCCTTGGGATTTTCTTATAATGCCAGGATTTGCGCATGAGGTAAGATTTACCCTTGAATATTTTTAAATCAAGTTCTGAGTTCTCAACTAGTTTTCACGGTTACCATTATTGATCATAAATTTGAATTTTTATTGCTAATTACTTGCTTGGCTAGAAGATTGGACATCATTTTGCTATTTCAACTGCTATCAAAGACACTAGTATTACAACTCATGAAGAAATGGAGAATATGGATATCTTTCATGTGCGTACTTAGAAAAGTGTAAGGATCATTTGTTTTATCGATGGAGGAAATATACAGAGCAGAAAGAAGCGATTGAGAAGTATGAGGGAATCCTTGAGGACTTTGCACCAGGTAGACTTTGTCTTTAGGAACCTTTCACATTTAGATTTACTAATTTTGAGGGAGGAAAGGGTGTGCGTTTTTTTTTTTTGTTGGGGGTGCAAGCGCGGGGGGGATGGTTGGTAAAATAGGCTCTTGTGAAACAAAGCATGTGATTGGAAATATGATTCTTCTCTAAATAGGTTATTTGAAGTTTGGCTTCATCAGAGAAGATGACAGCATTGTGTATCGAGAGTGGGCACCAGCAGTGCAGTGAGTTTTCCATTATTTTCATCCAATTCTCTTTAGAGTTTTCCTTTTTATGGATTAAAGCTATTTTCCTCAGTATTCTGTAAATGCAAGTCATGGAGAAGGAAATAACCTGCAAGTTAATCTTTTTTGCTCAGTTTTTTACCAACTATCGGCGGTGGATGATAGTATTAAATTTCTCATGATCCTGCAAACTACAATAATTTCTGAGTCGATACTATTTTCTTTTTTTACTTTTTCCTTTTTTATAAATCCAATGTCATCCTTTGGAAGTAATTGATATCCAAAGTGCATCTAGTCACTGCTGGATGGTGTTGAGATCTCTGGACTTCTCCCAACATTTCAGTCCCTTTGGTTTTAAGTGCTCCAGGAAACTGCTATATCTAGGCCCCATAGATACAAAAGGTCTGCGTTCCACATTTGGTCATCGAGGACATTCTATTTCTTGGATATAGGAGGTGCCAGGAACTGATTTTGTTGGTTACAAATATGAAAGTTTACAAAGAGCTACCATGTCTTTGGAGTTCAAATCAAATAAGGATATTTTTTAAAACAAGATCAATCAAGATGAAAAGCAGGATATGGTTTTTCTAAATATCTTCTAAAAATGTTGTCTATACTTGCATTTAGTGTTTCCTCGTCATCGTCTTGTAATTATCATCAGCATCTATTACTATTTTATACATAAACATAAATTCATTGGAAGGTGTGTACATCAAGTTGCACCCTGTAATGTGCCATTTCTCAAATGTATAAAACCAGCATTCATTGTATCAGTTCATGAGACCATAGATACTCTTTGATTCACACTTCTATGGGGGATGTCCCATAATTCTTGAATGCAGCTATCAATCAAATTATGCAGAATAGTGGTCACATTTGTGAACTATAGCAGTGAGGCAAATGGTCCACTATCACATGGTAATGACTGGTGTCTTTTGTCTGGGTCCCACTTCAATGAAGCCAGGGATTTTGATTTCTAATTCTTAATTTGTTTGATTTTCTATGAAATTGTATGCTTATACTTATTGTTTTGGTCACCATTGCTTAGATAATAATAATGTCATCGGAGGTACCATTTCCAATGTCAAAAAGGTCTTTCGTTATAATTCAAGAGGAGAAAGTTATATCTAATGATTGAATTGAAAAGCTAGTTTATGACTAATGTACTGTAGCTATAAGATATGCTACCAAATTAATCATAAGTTTCCAATTATTTTTTGCAATGATACGCCAATGACATTTTTTTTGTTTTTCTGAATAATAGATCATCTTTCTGATGAAATGCACAATTAAGTATTTTTTTTAAAAAAGTAAATTTTCCCTTACTTGAAGATAACTTATATTTTTGTATTTTAATGTAGGAAAGTGTTTGAAGGCATTTTTTAGCACCTTGGGTCCCCGATGAGGAATAAAGAAGAAGTAGGTAAATAAAGCCAAGATTTACAATGGAATTCCCGACAGTCTCAGAATTGCCCCAGAATGGGTGAAAATGTTCTTAAGGACTTCAAAAGGTCACCTGTTAAGTTTCGTCGCAATCCGACATGTCTAAGGAAGTGCAGACAAAGAAACAGCTTCGAAAAAATCAGTCTCTCGCACCTTGAAAGGAACCCTATAACTGGAACCCTATTAATAGAGCATCAGATGGCTATGGGACCACTGCCATTGAATTCGGTAGGGGTCAAATTTTGGCTTAAACAGACGTTCCAGGATAAATTTATGGGCAAAAGACTGAAAAAAGGTAGGCCGCACAATATTCCCATGTGCTCTCCCTACACCAGTCTCCATGGCAAAAGACTGAAAAGGGGTAGGACGCACGCTATTCCCATGTGTCCTCCCAACACTAGTCTCCATTAATGGAGATTGGTTTTCATAATTTCGGGTAGTGATTTTCGAGAGTCATATCTCTTTAGTTCCAAGTCGGATCGTGCTCAAATTCTGCGAGCATGTTCGTCTCGTCAAGACGAGCGTTTTGATATGTGGTATGGCCTGTGACGATGCTCAAGCAAAGAGAAAAGCTAGAGAGAAGGTGACAATTTGCGGCAAAAGTTGTAGGAAATTTAATAGCGACGTGTCACACTCGAGCGGCCATATCACGACACTCGCGTACCCAATCGACGTGAAACTAAGGTCCAGGGCTACGTCTGGTCCGACCTTCGCATGATGAACAGTCAGATTTCATGTGCGAAGCCAGTAAAGTTGTAAATTCTGGCCGCCAAAATTCAGATTCCTGCCAAAACTCTAAAGACTGCAAAATTTTCGTCCGGGCTACGTTTGTTCCAACGTAATCGTGACGGCATGCTCAATGTAATTCAACAAAGAAATCATGAAAAAACATCAAGAAACAAGTGCACTATCGATCGGAAGTTTTCAAGTCGCATGATTCATACAAATTTCGAGTCGCATGATTCATACAAATTTCAATGCAATTCAAGTCGCATGATTCATACAAAAAACATCAAGATTCATACAAAAAACATCAAGATTCATACAAATTTCGAGTCGCATGATCGTGGCTTAAAACGCGATCTATGGTTCGAAGTTGGTACCAAATCGATCGTTATGCCGAGCTCAACGAGAAAGTAATCATCTTTCAGTCAAATGAACGTTAGAGCAACCCTGAATCACCCAAGGAAGATCACACACGTTCTAGGGCAGTAGCAGGGATTGTTTTAGAATTTCGTGAATTGTCGGGCAGGGAGCAAAATCATCATTTTGCCCATATTTTTATATTTTTATTTAATTCAAATAAATTATTATTATCATCAATTAGGTCAGATTTTGGGCATGCACCCATGTTTAGGGCCCAATTCTATAAGTACATGCTAAACTTAATTGTAAAAGGCTTCCTTCATGCTTCGATTTCATGAATAAAATTTGAGAGTTTTACATTGAGATTGTGAACACATCTTGGAGAGAGAGAGAGGAGAGAGAAGAAAACGTTGGGTACCCCTCAATAAAGGTAAGTTTGACTCTCCTCCCTCCTTTCTCCTCTTTCTCTCTCCTTTTTTTTCTCTTCTTTCTCTCTCCTATTCTTTCCTTCTCAAACATGCATGGCTATGAGCATCGTCGTGCACGTTCTTCTCTTTTGTCTCTCTACCTCAAACATGCACAGCGGTAAGCATCGTTGTGTATGTCTCTCTTTTCCCCTTTCCCTCTCTTCTCTGTCTTTTCTTTTCTCTCACTAATCTTTCCTTTCTCTCTTCTCCTTAGTCATGCACGGCAATACCCATCGCCGGGCATGACATTCTCCTTCCTTTCTTGCCTCTTGGAACATCAACTGTGAGCCGGGCCTTAACCCGAGTGGCAGGCCGGGCCTCTATCCAAGTTCCTCGTCCTTCATGTTGTACACGGCGATGCTCATCGCCACACAACATTTCTTCCCCTATTCTCCAACAAAGACATTGAACCGGACCTTTCCTAACTGGTGGGCCAGGTCGTGTCTGAGTCCCCTCTGACGCTTACGGCAATGCTTATCGCCGCACGTGTCTTTTTTTTCTCTCTCCTCATGACATGGGCGGCGGTACCTATTGTCGTCCATGTTCACTTTCATTCTCTCTCTCCTATCATGGACGGCAAAACTTATCGTCGTCCATGTTCATTCTCATCCTCTCTCTCCTGTCACAGACTGCGGAACCTATCGTTGTCTATGGTTTTCCTTACTCTTTCTCTCTCTTGTCATGGATGGTGGAGCCTATCGTCATCCATGTTTCTTCTCTCCTTTTTTCTTACCCCCTCTCTCCTATTATGGATGGCAGAACCCCATCGTTGTCCATGCTTTTCCTTTCTTCTCTCTCTTCTATCATGGACAGTGGAGCCCCATCAATGTTTTTCTTTATTTTCTCTCCTCTGTCATGGACAGCGGAACCACATCATTGTCCATGCTTCTTCTCTCTCCTTTATCATGGACGGTGAAACTCCATCGTCGTCCATGCTTCTTCTCTCTTCTCTCTCCTCTATCATGGACGATGGAACTTCATCGCCGTCCATGCTCCTTTTTGTTCTTCTCTCTTTTCTTTCTTCTTTCTTCTTCATTTCTCTCTTCTTTCTTCTTTCTCCCTTATCTCTCTTCTTTCTCTTTTTTCTTTCCTTTTCTCTCTTCTTTCTGTCTTCATCTCTCTTCTTCTATCTCTGTCCTCCTCTCTCTTCTTAGTTCTTCTCTCTTTCTCTCTCCTCCTTCTCTCTCTTCTTCCTTCTTCTTTCTTTCTTTCTTTTCTTATGTCTCTTTCTTTCTTATTTTCCTCTCTTCTTTCTCTCTTCTTCTCTCCTCTTCTCTTTTCCTTCACTCTTTTCTTCGTCCTTTCTTCTCTATCATCTTTCTTTATTCTCTCTCTTCTCTTCTTTTTCCTCTTCGTTCTCTTTCTTTCTTCTCTCTTATCTCACCCTCCTTTTTCTTCTCTTCTCTTCTATCTCTCTTCTTCTATCTCTCTTCTCTCTCTCTCTCTCTTTCTCCCTCTGCTTTTCACTCTTCCTCTCTCTCAATATTCTTCTTCTACTTCCCTTCTCTTCTCTTCTCTTCTCTGTTTTCCATCCTTTTCTTTCTTTCTTTTTTTCTGTTTTCTTCTTCCTCTCTCGTTTGACCAAGGCACATGCTAAGCCTAGCACTATCATGGTAGTCTCGTTGTTGAGCAGTATTGCTGCAATGTCGGTTTAAGTTACCATGCCTGTCTTGCTGCCACGTCATATTTGTCATCTTGCCAGGCTGCTCGGTATTGACTCTGTCGTCGAGTAGGATTGTCGCCATGCCGGTCTAAGTTACTGTATCCATCTTGCTACCATGCTAAGTCAACTACTGTACTAAGCTAGCAATTGTGTCAGTCTAGCTACTTGGTCAAATTTATCTTCCTTTTCTTCTCTTTCCCCATTCTAGTTTTTCCTTCGTTTCTCTCAATCACCCCAAATCTCTATCCTCTTATTCTTTCCCTCTTCCTTTGAATGCACACGCTTGTGTGCATTCGTCCAAAAACAAGTTGGGATCCCTTGGCCAACATGTCTTGTAAAATTAACCATGTGTGTGTGATCGTAGAAACATGAGAGTACAGTTCAAGGGAGGCGATTTTGAACTAGTTGTAGGACTGGGGGGCTTTCCATCATGATCTAAGAGGGCACCCACGTGAGTCAGTCGAGTGAGTCACGGACCAGGTGAGGTGTGTCCCGCCTCACATTAAATTCATTTCTCACCGATTGGTGTTCCTGCCATTGCTCCTTAGCAAGGTTCCTGAGAGAGCAGTCTCAAGTCCCGGGTTTTTTTTTAAACCCGAGGCACCTGTCACCAGATCATCTAGATCAGGGAGCGAGATCGAGACATCTAACCAGAAAGCACAACCTATTGGGATTTCAATAGATGGAGATCCAACCACAACATGGTAAAAATCAATTTGAAGTCTGGACAATCAAGATCCCGGACTACACTGTTGAAAATTCAATAGTGTGATAGATCCAATAGTTGAAAATTTAAATTCTTTTGGTGTGAGTAGAAAAAATAGTGTGATAGAATAAACGGGATGACATTGTTGGCTCTTCAAAATTGTTAACATTTGATGTCATCGTTGTTAGCCCATCACGAAGAAATGGAGCATTGTTATTGGTTACTACACTGTTTAATATTCTAGCACATTTGAATGGACTTTTTAAGGTGGGCCATGTTCCAACATTTCTAAGATTTTATCTAGTGTCTATTAGAACTTGGCCCTTGCTCTAGCTAATATAGTTTGGAACATTAGTCTTCTCATTTACTGATCTTATTTTAGTTTCTCTCATGCTGGTATTGCAAACATGAGGCACTCATGGTTAAGGCTAAACCTCTACAAAGCGGTTTAAGTACTTGAAAAGAAAATTCCAAATGCTAAATGCCTTTGTTTTCTACCACATACCCAACTATGTGTGTGTATGAGAGAGAGAGAGAGAGAGAGAGAGAGAGAAATCCACCCAACTATTTGCTATAGTATTATTTGTCTACCACATACCCAACTATTTGTTTTCTACAATGTGTTTACTCAGTTTAGCCATCAATATAACCCTACAAATCCTGCGTCAATTGGATGTTCATAGAGCATTTGAAGATATATAGTCATTTTATACAAATCTTAAATGATATATTTGCAAACTTTTGTGTGTTGGAGCTGTTGAAAAAGAAAAAAAGAGATAGTGTTTCACATTGCCATTGTCAAGTGGAATGGATCAATGGATAAAATGCAATTCTAATGCCAAAACAATATGAAGTCTATAAGGAGAGTACAAAATTGAGATTAATTTGCTCTCCTAAAACAAAAACCAAATTGAGATAAAAATGAAGTCATTGTGTCCAAATGATCACAAGTCCAAATTGTTGAGCCCTATAGCCTCTTTTTCATATATGACATTCTATTGATCTTCTCTTCCTTTGATTTCCTATTGCCAATGGGCTCTACTTGTCTTGTTGTCACCAAGAGTTCTTTATTAGCACAATAACCTGCAAACCGTGAACCCAAATCAGCCACAAAACAACATATAAGTAAGACTAAAAGAAGCATGTGCCTGATGAACCCAAAATCAGCTTAGATGTTGGTAAACTAAAATAAGAATAACAAAACGGGTTACTTTTTTCTTGAACGGCATGGTTAATTTCTCGTATTCTCCTCTATGATGTAACTTTTTTCTTGTGTTCATTAATAAAAACAAAACGGGTAGGGGCTCGTTATCCCCACTGATTTACCCCAAAAAAAAAACTAAAATAAGAATATTGTCTATGTACACAAAAAAGTTACACATCAAACCAGTATGCCATCTAAACTTCAGTCAGAAGTTGCACTACACTTCAGTAGCAAAAGGCCACTAAAATCAGCAGAAGACGATTGTTGTTTGGTGCTGTTTTTGGGTTCACAACAGCAACATAACAAACAACAACAAAACCAATATTTGGGTGTAATTAATAAAAACAATTGAAATTGAAAAATAATGAAGTAAACTGTTTGTTTTTTTGCAATTGAAAAACAATGAAGTAATTAATGTGTAAAATTACAAAGTACGTTTGCTTTATGTACGACCTACATGCATAATATGAATAACGAGTGCAAAATTCAGCAACAAATTATACTGACCTCTCATGAAAGAGCCGCCCTACATGTAGCTCTATTATGCTGATGCTGGCGACACCTACTGTAGTGAAGAGGCCTCACTTTCACCTCTTGTGACTCAATGTGTTTCTTCTTGGGACACCCAAGAGAACGTTTCGTGCGTGGAGGTAGTATCTATGGCTCATAGGAAGATGAATCTTCTTGCAAATACATATCAAAGCATGAGACTGGTCGTACCGGTGTAGCATAACTTTACTTGTACTTTGCAACTGTAAAGTAGTCATC